TGCAGACAGGAAGTGCAATGAATGAACTGACGTCTGAGGAAATATATTAAAAAAAAACTTACATATTGTAAGAAAATAAACTAGTTATTTTCAGGTGGCGAACGTTTTAAAAATAAATTAAATCCATATAACTGAGGTTTATCTCGACCACATTTCTAAACCCAGTTAATAAAGTCAAGAACAACCTCATCCCRTCTCAGCGGCCGAGGCTTTAAATAACGCAGCGGCTTTTCTGGATTACATCACACGTCACAGCTGGTGTTTTGAGGCGAGTTCAGAAGCAAAGGTTCACCTTCAGCGAGACGTTTTTCCCAAACGTGACGTCTCCAGAAACGGTCAGGTGGTCGAGCTCCAGCATGTCGGGGATGCTCTCAAAGCGGGTCAAGTACTCCTGAACCTGAAACGAGAGCAGAACACACAGCTGCTTTAACGACGTTCAGTTTTCACTAACAAACCTGTGGAGTTTAAAGCTGCCTGTTTGAGTCCGCTGAATAACGGCGCAGTGGAAGTCCTGCTGTGTTCACCTTGGTGAAGGAGCTGCCCAGTTTGACGTGGGGTGTCGTTGGGAACTCCCTCTTGGGGCTCATGGTGAGGGAGCCCGCGTCCAGGCTGTACAGGTTGGACATGACCAGCAGCAGGTCCGACGTGGTCTTGACGGGCAGGAAGCGGCTGCGGGGCACGTTTATTCCCAAAGCGTTGTCRAAGCATTTGATCGCAGCGCCGACCGCCGTCTCCAGCTGGATGACGTTCAGCCCTCCATCGAGCGTCTAAAAGACGAGATGTGGGGGAAGAAAAAGAAGAAATATAATTTTCCTCTTTCTCCTTACAAAAATCTCTAATCTATAAAATATTAAATGACTTCTATGATTTTTAACTAATCTTTTACAAGACTTTAATTATAGACGCATCAGATTATTGTCATCCAACTAACAACATATTTCTACATTTCATGCTTTAAAATTTTATGATTTAGTAGAACTTAGCACTGATAATGTACAAAGCTTATACTAAAGTCCTTCCACATTGTATACAGAAGTGGTTTGAAATTAAAGAAACCAAATATGAATTTAGAAAGAAAGATCTATTTAAAAAAGCAAAGATTAGGACAAATATTTAAAAATAATTGTATACTTTGGGGGATTTGTGTTTGGAATAATTGTTGTGAAGAGTTAAAACTGTGTTCTTCACTAATTTTAAAATAATGTAAAAAAACTATTTGTTAC